TTCTTTAAATCAGAATGCATTTGCCTATTTTTTCTCCTTTACTATTTAGGATGTCCAAATGTAAAGAGAGATGAGGGCTTTTGCACTTTTAACAGCTATGCGCAAAACAGAATCTTAGCAGAAGCAGCTTGCCATACAGGTGTAAATGTTATTTGAGGATGTTATGTTTAGACTACTACTTCCATAAGCCACCAGCTGGTATCTGGCCTTACTGAGTAGGGGATTCTGGAATGTATAGTCCAAAAGATAACTTTTCAAGGCTCTGAGTGACAAGCAGCAGCTCCTAGAACTCCGTAACATGCTTCCATATTCACACTCTCCTGTGTTTTAAAAAAAAAATAATACTAATGGTATGACCTATCTAAACATAGGGCACAAGCCATTTTGGTCCCCAACCCATTTGCTGAATGCCAGTGGACACACTGAATTACAAGGGATAATTCAGGATTCACTATCATATCATATATTGTCCTGTAGCAGTTTCCAACAACAGCACTATACATGGTAGAAATAAAATTATGAAGAAATTGATATCTGAATTAGAGGCCTGTACCAGGTCTGAAAAGAGTAAAGACCACTGGACTAGAATATTGGGATTTAGCTTCAAATCTCTTGCTAAGCAAAAAGGTTTATAAAATATTTTGGGGTGTAGCTATCAGTCAAACTTGCTCACCAGGGCTGCTGCTCTGAGGTCTTTGGGAATGAGACAAGAATGGGACAGATAATAACACAAAACTAGAGGGCAAAACTCAATGTCATAATAGTTTTGCTACAGTTGACTAGTAAATCACTTGTCTGACCTTAGAAGATATAAAGAAATAAAGAAGGTGAGAACAGGCAACCTTTGAAAGAAACAGTGAAATGTTGGCCACTAGCATTCTGGAACCAATACTGTCCAGCAAGTAAAAATGTATCAGTCCCATCATGGGTCTTGTGTTCAGAGAAGGGTGGGATATGAAAGAAAGAAAGAGAGAGAGAGAGAGAGAGAGAGAGAAAGAAAGAAAGAAAGAAAGAAAGAAAGAAAGAAAGAAAGAAAGAAAATAAATTGGGAGGTGGGTGGACAAAGATTCATCAGCACCTCTGCCCATCTCCATTGTTACCTGGTGGTGCAACTCGATCCTGATACTTGGGCTGGAATTCACTGATAGTGAGCAGCATAACTTGGATGGTCCCAATGAAGATTCCTGCCAGGCAGCCATAGAAGATCAGGTAGAACAGGAGGATCTTAACTGTGATAACAGAACAAATGCAACAGTCAAGAACGAATGGATAACTGTGTACTATAACATCTGGGTATGTAGAAGTTTCTCAAAGATACAGGCAGGGCCAGCTCTCTCATTAGGCACAGTGAGGCAGCTACCTTAGGTAGCTACGGTAGTTATGGGTAAAAACTGCAACCATTTCCAAAGTAGGAAAGACTGCATATTTAATGAGTGAGACTGCATCCAAAATAAACTGAACTTGGAAATGTGTGTTTCAACAAATTTGAAGTGGGTCAAAAAAAGACCTTGGAAATATTACTTTTTTTTAAAAAAAAAACTATGGCTCTCAAAAGTATCCTTTCTACTTTTGAGTAGAAAAAAAACCCCTCTTTTCTGAGCACTGGCTACAAGTATTTCTTACAGAGATTGCAACACTAAGCACGTTTTCTTTGGAATACATTTTGTTCAAATAAACGGCCTCATTTTAAAGAGTTAGAAAGATTCACAGTAAATGAGATCTATATCAGTATCCATGAGCCATGACAGATCGATCCACGGAACCTCCAAATCTAGGATTATCCTTTCACTGAATAAAAGTGGATGGGGTCATGCAATCAAGAAAGAATGCTGTTTTCATGCCTTACTTGTAAAGATATTTGACTGGCAATTATTGGAAATAAAATGCAGGACTATAGGGATCTTTGGACCAAAATCCAATTGCTAATCACAACGAGAGTAAATCCATGGAATAAATGGGATTCTCAGAAGTGCTGGTTTTACTAAACAATAATGGAATCAAGGTAGTATAGGGATTGCATGTTAGGCTAAATTTCTAGGAGACTGGAGGTGCATCTACACTGCAAAATGAATGCACTTTGACACCTCTTTAACTGCCATGGCTCAATATGATGGAATGCTGGGATTTATAGTTTTGTGAGATATTTAGCCTTCTCTGTCACAGAGCTCTGGTGCTGCAACAAACTACAAATCCCAGGATTCCATAGCATTAAGCCATGGTAGTTAAGTGGTGTCAAACTGCATTAATTCTGCGGTGTGGCAGCAGCATAGTCATAGAAACCTACTGGGTGACCTTGGGCAGGTCCCACTCTGTCAGCCTCAGAGGAAGAGAATGGCAACCACCCTTTGAACAAATCATGCCAAGAGAACCTCATGATAGGTTTGCCTTAAGGTTGCTGTAAGTCAGAACAACAACAAAATTGAGCCAATAGGTGGTCTACCTACGTTAGGACTAGAAAGTGCATTTTGCCTTCTTTTGAAATGAAAAATAAGAAACATTTCTTATGTTCTTAATATGATTCAGGTCTAGTTCACTCATTTCTAATTAGGAGAAATTAGCATTTTAAGTGATCCATGAATCTCACTGGGTGACCACTCCTCCCCTGTCAAACCTCCCTCACAGGATTGTTGTAAGGACAGACTGAGGAGCTGAAAGCTATGTATCCTGCCTTCAGCTCACTGGAAGATAAGCCTGATGAATGTAATGAATTTGAAAAACACACATAATCAAGCACAGAGTAGCAGCTGGAAAAGCAAAACAGAATATGGCAGGAGGGGGAAGAATGCCCTATTTAACAGGCTGATCAGAACCTAAGGAGCACTCCTTTCAGGAGGGAGAATATACGACACAGTAAAATGGCTTGTTGCAAATCTCCCTTGTATGGCAATCTAAAGATGGTGGAATATGGGGGTGAGCTGGACTTAAAACACCTGGCCCTTGATCCTAACTAATTCTGATCCTTAAAATACCCGATCCTTGCTTTCATAATGCATTTCTGGGAAACACCACTTCCAACACATCTCCAGTTACAATGTCTTTTCCCCAGCATAGCTCTTGAGTACTATACTGCTGGGAGCCAGAAGGGTGTAATGGTCTGAGTGTTGGACTACAACTTTGGAGACCAGGGTTCAATGCCCAGCTCAGCCACAAAACCCACTGGGTGACCTTGGGCAAGTCACACTCTCTCAGCCTTAAGGGAAGGCAATGGCAAACCTCCTCTGAACAAATCTTGCCAAGAAAACCCATGATAGGTTTGTCTCAGGATTAGCCAAATGACTTGAAGGCACACAACAACTACACTGGTACACTATTGGCAGCCCCTGATCCGAATGGCAGCAGAAAGAATAAATCTGCTTGTGCCTGGACCATAGATAACCCATGTAATACTACACAACATCAGACTTGGACAGCTTTTCACTTGCTTTTACGTGGTATATTAAGAAAGCCATACAGTACAAGTCACACACATTCTGCCTCTACTGAGCTGTAATCAGGCAGATTAATATACAAATTACATAAGCAATCAAAGCATTTTTGTTGTCGCTGTTAAAAGGAGGAGGAGGAGGAAAAATTAAAACTTTTATTTGTGACTAGGGCTACTCCAGTGAGCTGCACAGTCTTTGAAATCTGGTTGTATCATTTACTAGTTCGCAGGAATTATCTTTACTGATTAAAAGCAGAGTAACATGCTGTACTTGGTATCAAGAGGGCAGCCCTATACAAAAAACGACTAAAGGAACACAGCATGTGAAAAGTGGGTGGGAGTGGATTCTATAGTTGTTGACCTTTAAAACGAAATATTCACTCAAACTACTATAAAGGGAGTAGGCAAAGGAACACCAATAGGAAACCGTTTCTCCCAACATTGATAGGAAGTTGTTAAAAGAGGAAACCTATTAAAATACCCCTACACCCTGGGGACTGAGTGGGGAGAGAAACTATCCACAGAGACCAGCAGCTCTGGCACTCTTGGGGTTAACACACTCTTTAGTAACCAAGCAGCAGTCAGCAAATAGCTGTGACGTCAGAGAGATTTGGACATATTTTCCAGAGTACAGTCATAGGTGGTGCTGTTGTAATGAGCTAAAGAGGAAACCTGCGGGCACCAAGGTGTCTTGGGTGATGCATGTGTGTGTGCTTTTCTTAAAGAAAAATAGTAATAAGAATAATTTTTAAAAAGAAATCAAAGAGCTCTGGGTATCTAAGGTGACATAAGTTTAAACATAGATCTCCAACCAGGATGTTAATAATAGACTGCAACCACCTAGTTTTCCTTACACTGAATAAAGCATTTATACTAGCAGGAAAGAACAAGGATCTTTTTAATACATGTGTGTGTGTGTGTAGGGGGAAACAGCTCTGGTTTCTAAAGCATTGGTTAAATTCTTCAAAGCTGTCCTCAAGGCAATCACAATGTCATCTCACTGCTCTTTCATTTTATCTCTAGCAGGTTTGGTATACAAGGCACCTTCCACCCACTTAAGGGTGTTGGATGTCCTGGACTACAACTCATATATACTTCCCCACTGGCAATGAAGCTGGGGAGTGATGGGAACCATAGTCTACCAGGGGTAGGCAACCTAAGGCCTTGAGGGGCCGGATGCGGCCCCCCGAGGCCTTTGGACCGGCCCCAGGCTGGTCCTGCCACCATTGCCGCCCCCCCCACCATGATGATATTGATTATTGTTGTTATTACTTGTTCTTGGGGTTTTCTTGGCAAAATCTCCACAGGGGTTTTGCCATGGCTTTTCTGGGGCTGAGAGAGTGTGCATGCATATTTTTTAATTTTTTAATTTTTTTTTTAAAAAAACATTTATTTATTTATTTATTTTGGGTGCTTCAATTTGGGTGCTTCAACCCTCCCAATTGTCTGAGGGACAGCAACCCGGCCCCAGGCTCAAAAAGGTTGCCTACCCTTGGTCTAATCCATCTGAAGAATGCCAGCTCAAGAAAGACTATCCTTATACATGTTTTGAAAACCCAGTATCATTGATACAAGAGCCAGTGTGGTAGTGGTTTGAACATTAGTCTATGACTCTGGAGACCAGGATTCAAATCCCTGCTCAGTCATGGAAACCAACTGGGTCACCTTGAGCAAGCAACACTTTCTCAGCCTCAGAAGAAGGGAATGGCAAACTCCTGCTGAACAAATCTTGCCAGGAAAACCCTGTGATAGATTTGCCTTACAATCACCATAGGTTGGAAATGACTTGAAGGCACACAATAACACAGCACAACTATCATGAGTGCTATAAGTCTTTCTGCAAATTGCAATTTATGTCTTTGGCCTGGCAAGGTTTCCCTCTGCATCTGCCCTCTATCAAATTCTAGTTAAGAATCTAAACCCGGAAGCTCCGGATGTGGCATCTCCAAAGGACACTGGCTGGATTCAGCCCAGAAACCGCACCAGGCCAGCAGCTGCAGCTGGCATCAGCTTTTACAAAGAGAACGTCTAATATCACAATGTGAATAATTTCCGAGAACATACCTCAACCCTTTTCTTTCCCACACCTGCTAAAAGGTTATTTATAATGCTAGCTTCTCCTATATAAAGCCATTTTCATTTATTATGAATAATAGTTTTTCCACCATCCACCCCGCCCGACTCCTGGAGCTATTGTCTGCTTTGACCTCAGTATCACCCAATGTTTCTAAATTTGCACAAAGTTTAAAAGGGAATGGAAAGTTCCAGATAAGAAGCCAGTGTCTCCAATGCAAAGATCTACAGAGACACTCAAGACTGCCTGCTCAGACCCCAGCAGAGGCGGGCAGGAAATTCAAGGGCATCCTACCCTTTCTTTCAAGGGCAGCCATGTCTAACACACTTGTGCAGAAGGCCCGGACATGCTCTGCGCCATCCTCATGGGGTTAGTCAGACTTTCTCTCCCATGCCTGCATTAACCTGAGGTTGAATGGAAAATTAATGGCACAAAGCACTCATTGGCTGACACAGAAGGAGCCTGTTCAATACAAAAGGGGTGCCTCAGGCAAGCTAGGGAAATGGGAGTCAATATGGCACCTGTTCTGGAGGCGCCACACAGAGCATTACAAGGAGTTGTAGATGATGATGAAGGAGAAGAAGAAGAAGAAAAATAAAAATGACTGTCTATTCAGACACCATGGTCTACCGACCAGATGGAAGCAAACATGGAGGGAGAAAGCATCAGATGATAGATGTTGCAGGGAAAACCTTTTGTGTCCTTTTCTATTTGGCCTAACTTGTGCAGTGCAGGGTCCACATGCTAGACCCAAGGAAAAGGCCTCCCTCCGTCTGGGATGCCTGGACCAGGGAGCAAAGCGGGATGGAGAGCATGACAATAAGAAAACGGAGGGTGTGTGTGTGTGTGTGTGGGTGTGTGCATTTTGTGCCTGCTCTGAACCTCAGACTCATTCAAGTTAGGTTCAGTTGCTAGGAGACAGCCTTCAAGGACTTTGTTATTCCTAAAGCTCACACTCCCTTCTTTCCCACCTGACCTTTCTCTGGGGGGTTGCAGACTGCTAGAAATAGTGCAAATTGAGTCCACTTTTAGGGTTAGGGTTAGTGCTAGGGAATAATGGGAATTGTTTTTTTTCTTTTCCTGAGACATTGAGCCTTCTCTGTCAGAGAGCTCTGGTGCCACAATAAAATACAGTTCCTATGATTCCCTAACCCTAAAAGTGGACTCAATTTGCACTATTTCTGGCAGTCTGCAACCCCCCTCTCTCTCTTTGCTGCTTTCTCAGGCCTCCTCCAAATAAAAGTCTGGATGGAGTGCACAAAAGAACAAGCCATGAGAGCCAGGCATCTGGGCAGCGGCCACTTAGCTAGTCTTGGGTTTTGTCCTGGATGGAGGACTAGGGCTTCCTCCTTCAAGGATCCCAAGAAGACAGGCATCCATTATTACCTCCTTGCTGGGAAGGTGTCACCTTGACTAACCTTGGGCTGTGATGCATTATTAACCCTTTGGAGCTCGAAGAGGCTCCCAGAGCAAAGGGGAACAAAAACCAACACTCTATCCCTTTCTTTTCCTGCACAAATGGGCCACTGGAAAGAAAACAGATCCTCTTGGCATCCTTCCCAAGGGTGGGCATCTTCTTCCTGAGTGCCCTCCAATGCCCTTCCTGAGAAGGCATCTTGGCACCCGCAGTGGCTGACATGACACAGAAGGGAGGAGGGCGGGTTGGAGGACTCCAAAAAAAGGGGGGGATGATGGGGGTTCCTCCTCCTTTTCTCTAATCTCTGGCCTCCACCCACCCCACCCCCTGCCTGCAGTCACGACTCGGCTTTGCCTCCTCCATCCATGCCCTTCAGCACGACCTTTTTTCC